AAAAAGTTTTTTTTAAACAAAAAACCCCTTTTTTTTTTTTTTTTTTTTTTTTTTACCATGTGTCCACTTTTTACTTTAATGAGGATGTTAAGTGACTTTCCCTGTGTTTTAGCACTGGTTCACTCGAAGAAGATTTCCCTCAATTGGTTTGATGACATGAGAGCCATTAGGTTTTACCTTTCTGCTTTCAGATCCGCTATATCTAAGTGGATTTGATTGTGCATGCCTGTTAAATACAAGATACAGTCCCAACTTTTCCTATTGCTGCCCACCAAGGCTTTTGAGTGTTTCTTGGACATTTCATGATGAGACCTCTGTGTCTCAGATTCGTTAGACTGCGATCTGGTCTTGTGGCCTTATTGTACAATTTTACACGTTTGATGTGTCTGCAGATGTTAGTTTTGGTCAAAAGGTTCTACAAGCAGCTATTTAATTTCCCTGCTTTTTTTTTTAACCTGACCCTTGCATTGGACTGCTTTTGGAGGTTTCTTACTATGCAGCGGTGTCCTTAGGTTTTAGCCTCAAGGGGGCTGGACTTTAGTTTCTATGTGTCTAGTCTGCCTAGTCAGTACACCTCCTAGATTGCTTACTATTCAGCTTTGTTCCTCAATTGACTAAGAAAAGGATTTTAACAGTTAATACAAAAATTATATTTAAAGTGACTTTAAACCTTCACTTTTTTTTTTTTTTTCATGGGGGCCCAGCTTACTTAAAAACATTTTAAGTATCAGGCTTGTATTCCACTGCTGCTGCACACCCAGTCCCATACCACCATCTTTCTTACTCCTACATCATCAGGAGCCAGCTGTCTGTTCCTGGTTTGTGCAGCTGGCCATCTGATGTCACTGCTCATGTGGGGCAGCTGAGGGCTAGAACAGGGACCTAAAAATGTTTAAATTCATTTTAGCATAGAGACATACCAAGAATACATGAATACAGGCACAGATCGGTAAATGGTGGCAAAGACAGTAGTAGGGCTGCAACAACTAATCGACATAATTGATTATTGAAAACGTTGTCAACTTTTTCAATCATCGCTTAATCGGCTTCTGATTGGTTGGCCCTGTTTACGGCTCCACACACGCTGCGCGCCGCACCTCCTCCCCACCACATGCTCGCCGCTGCCAGACGTGCCCGCATCAACGCTCCACACGCCGCATCTCCTCCCTACCTCACATTCACCGCCCGCCCATATCCGCGATCGGCACAGGAACGTGGGGAGACGTAGTAAGGAGGAGCAGGTGTGGGGGGATGACAGCCGCCGATAGACAGGTAAGCCTGCACTTTCCCACACATGGTGCTCTATAATGTATTGCTGGGATTTGTATTCCTATGTATAATATACAGCACAATGTACCATCAGCTATAGAGGAATACAACAAATCCCAGCAATAGTACATTATACATACAGTGTATAATGTATTGCTGGGATTTGTAGTCTTCTATAGCCGGTTCTGCATTCATTGCTGTATAATTTTACACTTTTTATTTCACTATATTGCACACCACACTTTTGTTTTCTTTTTTACTTCCACCGCTCCAAGCTTGCTCCTGTGATGAACCACACTCAATACAAACTAGTAGTCCATCACTGGAGCCATTTTTTAAAATGTATTTTATTTTTTAACCGATTAATCGAACTTAATAATGGGCTAACTAATCGATTTTGAAAATAATCGTTAGCTGCAGCTCTAGACAGTAGCAAACAGCTAGCTTATTATTTGACATTCGATGTGTTATGGAACAGCTTTGTCACAGGAGGGGGTAAAAAGTAATGTTAGGCAATGTGAAAATTAGGTTTAAGGTCTACTTTAAACATAATCATTGCTCTGATTGTGTATGTCTTGTGAATCTAATATGTGCTGCTCAACTCTTTGGAATAAAAGCATGTATATTGAAAAGAGCAGCTTTTTTTTATCTTATGAACTGGGTCGAGAGCACAAGCGATGCCCCACATGGGATGGTGTAGCTGCCTTGTGCATTGCTATGTATAGTATTGGTGTTAAAATACTAGGTGGGATTCCCTGTTGGGTCAGCATGTTAACGTTTTAAAGCTCTCAAGAACGGAGACTTTGACTTTCTAGATGTCCGTTTCCTCTCATATGAGCATCTGTCAGCGGATTGCTCTTTTAGTGCAGATATGTCACAACGTTCCATGTCTGAATCCTTTCAGCTGCTCTTGTATAACAGGGTGAAGGTGATAGGTGAGCTGCTCTTTCTCTCCGTGTTTTCTCTTTTGTCAGCAGGATTGCTTTGGATCTGTATTTACACTTAACGTCACTCTCACATTAATAATTTACATTGCTTCGCAGTAAAATGCTGCTTTGTAGAGTTTATTTCACTGGGCCAATCTTCTTCTTTTTTTCCCCCCCCAAAAAGCCCACAAGTGGTTATCTGTTTTCTAACAATTGATTATCATTCTAAGTGTTTTCTACCGCACTGCTGAAGTAATGTGTACTACACCTGCCCATTTCTCGATTTTATAACCATCCCTTCCTCCACAATACACAACAGCTCAGCTCCATCTTCTGTGGTTTTATTTTTCATCTCTGTGCCTACCGTATGTGATCACTGTGTTTTTGAAGGACATGACTGACAACTGCTTTGTCTCTAACATAGAAGCTTTTGTTGGAGCAACACCTTTGAGTTGGCAAAAGGCATAAGAGTTTACAGTTTCACATTGCCTCAGGCAAGAAAGCCTCGATGGCCATCTGATCAGAACAGGTAGGGAACCCCCAGTAATGAGTTGGACTCATTACTGGGGGTGCAATCCTGATTAGGTGCAATTAGGTGCAATCCTGATTAGAAAGAATAAACACACTTTGTTTTGGATTGCTGCCATTGTTTAGAGTATGTTAATAGGAGGGAGGTGTTTTGTTTTTAGAAGAAACACAAGATGATCTTCGTGTTTTTCTACAATCTTGTACTCAAAAAATGTTGCAGAGGGCAGTCATTGAGCTTGCTTTCCTGTAGGCAGCTGCTTTCCTAGCGTTTTAGTGCATTGAAGTATTTTAGCTTTAGGGGCTCTTTCAACGACCCTCAAAACACATAAAAAGTTCACCTGCACTCTTTTTGACATTGCAGTGTCCAGCATTCTACAGAGCCTTCATATGTATCACTTGTGCTATGCTATAGAACAGCTACTTGCTGTATATGCCTGTTTTGGTGTCAGCCACAAATAAAGCAGAAGTAAAAAAAGCACCTTACGGCAGACTTACCTGCCAAAAACAATCCCCTCCAGTCATCCTGTACCCTGATGACTTAGCTTCATCTCGGCATGCTTTGTCTGTGCACTGAGCTGCACGTGTATAGTACCCTATGTAACTGTAATATGTTACAATGCAGCCTTTACACCCCGTTCTCCACAAGGCATAGTTCTTCATGCACGCACATGAAGAACTAGCAGCTTAAACATTGCAGTCAATGGATAAACGAGCATAAAAATGGTACCAAAAATGTGCAACATGCTTCTGTCACACATTTGCTAGTGTTTCCATTGAAGTCTATGGGAGAAAAATAAGCTGCAAACTGCCAAAAGAAGCTT